CCTCTTCACCCCACCAGCATTACCTCTTCACCCCACCAGCATTACCTCTTCGTCCCACCAGCATTACCTCTTCACCCCACCAGCATTACCTCTTCACCCCACCAGCATTACCTCTTCACCCCACCAGCATTACCTCTTCACCCCATCAGCATTACCTCTTCACCCCACCAGCATTACCTCTTCACCCCACCAGCATTACCTCTTCACCCCATCAGCATTACCTCTTCACCCCATCAGCATTACCTCTTCACCCCACCAGCATTACCTCTTCACCCCACCAGCATTAACCACCCTCTCCCCTTCCGCATAGCGCATCTTGTATGAGAGGTTAATTCTGCATTATTCCCTACGAAAGTTGCTTTATTTCATATAAACGCCCAATTTCTTGAGCTTTATTTAATATACAACTTCTGTATATTTCTGTATATACTTCTGTATATCTGTATATATGTACCTCCAAATATAATTCAAGTACCACCGTAATTTGTTCTTACGTGAATTGTACTAATAAAATTATTATCTGTATTATCATTATAGGTTTCTGTAAGGGTGTTGTCTATGATTTGCGTTTGCTACTGTTTTAATTGCTGATTTATGTTGAATAATTAGGGCTCATAGGTAGTTTTAACTTGTAGATCCCCAGGCACAGGTATCGTAGCTGAGATATGGAATAGAATGGAATGATTACGAGAAAGCACCAAGCCATTACGACTATATAACACTGGGAAGGGGTCAGGATAAGGATTTGGGATGGGACGGGGAAAGGAATGGTGCCCAACCACTTATGGACGGTATGGGATTGAACGCCAACCTGCATGAATCGAAACCGTCGCTCTATCGTCCAGCTCAAGTGGTTGGGCCTGAGATAAGGCTATAGATGAACGAATAGGTGTTACTAAGGCAGAACGAAGTACGTAGCATAGGACTTTCAACCCGTGTCAGTTAGCGCTGCATTTAGAAGGTTGTATCATCAGCAGAAAAAATTGGCGTCAGGTGTTGCGTGGCATTTAGCAGGTTAATGCAAATGAGAAAGAAGAGGGGACTAAGCATACTTCCCTGTGGAATGCCAGTGTTAATTGGCAGTGTGGGAGAAGTAGCATCGTTCACAGAAACATACTGGTGGAGTCTGTACCTAGTCAAGCATAAGACGAAGTTCAAGAAAATTCAGAGATACACCACCAGACTAGTAATAATTCTCGAGCTGAGGGGCATGTGCTACGAGGAGAGACTACTGGAATTAAACCTCACGTCACTGGAAGATAGAAGTTAATGGAGACATGATTACCACCTACAATATCTTTAGGGGAATTGACAGGGTAGTCAAAGACAAATTATTTAGCACGGGGGATACACAAACAAGGGAACACAGGAGGAAACCTAGTACCCAAATGAGCCACAGAGATATTAGAAAGATTTTTTTTCAGTGTCAGAATAGTTAGGGGAATAGAATGCATTGCACTTGCAAAGTGATATATGGTGGAAGCAGATTCCATACTCAGTTTAAAGATAAAATCTAGATATGACAGAGCAAAAGGCTCGACAGGAATGTTTATACCAGTTGGGTGATGGTTGAGAGGCGGAATAAAAGAGCCGAAGCTCATCCCCCGCAAGCACAGCTAAATGGGCACAACTAGGTGCGTACTGGTGCCTGTTGCTGGGGTAAGGTTGCACGTCTAGCATGACGGGATACATTAGCCTATCTGCACGGGTGCCATATTGGGTTATAATTGACGCATATATTTAGCTTATTGCTGCTTTTGGGGATACTATTAAAATAAACTGGTCTATTTATTCTGAAAAGTGCATGAATTGCTAAAATAAATTGGACTACTTTTTATTATATATCAGCTGATTTTAGTCCACTTTCAGCTGTTCAGCTCTGGCACCCCTGCTCCTGTGCTGTAGTTGCCCCTAACCCAATAATAATAAGCATATATTTGTTATCAGTGAAGAGTATCAAACCATCTTGAATAGGAACAACAATCCAAGACTTCAGAAGCAAACCTTTTATTTAATTAAGATTCATCAAGCTCACAACACTAATCATTAAGCCGTGTTGAGGTATATTTGAAATCATGCTTAATTTTGCCTGTAAAGAGAGCGCCCTTCAAGTGTTGGGTATTGCTCGTGTGTTGGGCACGGGGGCCCGTTCTCTGACGGCCAAGACCACATTTAATACCCTTACGAGGCCAAACTTGGGTAACATTAAGCCAAAAGAGACCAGCAATTTGTTCATGTGCGGAACTTTTTCCAAACGAGCTGGCGGCGTATCTCCCATAACATCAGTCGCTGGTGAGAAAACATTTGTCTGTTTTCAGTGTGTTTATTGGCAGCAAAGTGCTTTCGTTTCCACTAACAGGCGATGTTTATTTCAGCCCCGTGCTCCTAAGGTTTCCCTACGTCAAGAAACTGTCGTACGAAAGTGCCCTTTCCTATCCTACCCGAGGATCCAGAACAGAAAAAGGGACAGTACGTCTATATCGCGAGTCACTTCTATTTACTAGTAAGACAATTTTTGGCCGTATGTAGAGTGTACGTCAAAATGCGACGCTCTATTATAGTAGGGCGCAAGGGTAGTCATACGGATTTGTGATTTACCCTTAGAGGGTGCACTGGAGTAAATTTATTTATTTATTTATTTTATTTATTTATTTATATATATACAAGAATGTACATTGGGTTTGTGAGAATACATTGGGTAGTACAGTATTTACATTCTTGTAAAGCCACTAGTACGCGCAGCGTTTCGGGCAGGTCCTTAATCTAGCAGATAATTTTAAGTAGGTAATTTCAATCAGAATTGATAAATGAAAGATACATTACAAGAGAAAAATGAGAAAAATGAATAAGAGCATTTAATAAATAAGAGCACCTCTGCTCCTATTCTTGTAGAGCACCTCTGCTCCTATTCTTGATGTTGTCCTCCAAGTTGTTAATGTTCTGGGGGATGAATGTGTTGGTAGACAGTTTCTTTCCAGTCCATTGTTGATGGAATTTCAGGTATTGGGGGAACTGCTCAGAAGGGATACTTCATTACACTCAACACACTATATTAATTCTATGACTATACTGTGGATTTCTTGTAATTAAAAGGGTTAGCAAATTACTGTACAGTACTTTAAATTTATGTTAAAAAATTGTAAATGTAAATGTATGTATTAATGAAACAAAAATCATTAATCAACCTGTAATCTGATATGTATATACAGTCTGCATAAGGTTCATCCTTCAAATTTGATGCTATATGTTTTTTCAACATGTCTTGCCCACTCTAAATGTGAGCTATATGTTATTCAATTTCTGTCTAAAAATTTAAGTTTTTATAACTGTATACTTGTCCAGTTCAGCCAGAAATGTAATGACTGATATGTTAAAATAAATTCGTTATGAATAAAGCTTCTGAATTTGAATAAAGATAACATCTAACATCAATACCTAACAGTAATACTAATGAAAATACAGTACAGTATTTGAATTCTAAGTCGTCACAGTTTAAAAAACAATATAACATAGGCAGTCATTAACTATGTGCAATGCTGAACATATATATATGATTAGATTAAATCAGTAATGTTTGGAAGATTTGAGCAGTTCACTTTTTACTATTTTAGCTCGATTAGCTCTCAATGAGTAAAGTTTATAGTCTTATCTTGGTGTACTAGTATTATCTTCCTAAGAGATAGCAGCGTAACCCTGATCATCACAGATAAAAGCTTGAAGGCTGTCACAGTGGTAAGAGTGTGTCCACCAGGAAGTCTGTAAATATATCGTTTAATAATTATATAATTGTTACCTTTTGCTGACATTTTGTGGGTATTTATTTTTGTTCATGCTTGATTGCTTATAAATTCACTTTCATGACATATCCCTTTCACAGTACAGTAGTAGGCTAATAATTTTCAGTGAGTTCAATTTGTTAATTCAGTACAGTATACAGTAGTTCAATTTGAACTATACTAAAAATAATTTACAGTATCAAATGTTGATAAAAGTGTAAGTACAGTATAGCATAACTTTGCTCAAGTTGACTAATTGAGACCAGACCTGTTCCATTTCACAAAGGAGTACAGTGCACTGAATGTTTTGCCAGTTTCTGCTATTTACTGTAAATGTTTTACTTCTCTGTGAGGATGTTTGCCAGTTCCTGAGCCGCGTGTTCTCTGGTTCCGGGGCTGCATGCCCACTAGTGGTGTTTTCTTGTTCCAACTGTGGGTTGATCTTTGATCCCTATGTGCTCCACTTGCCTCCATGAGGCCGTCATATCGGTCCTGGCTCATGGGTTAATTGAGAACAATTATTGGGAGCCTTATATTTGGGGGTGGATTGGTAATAGCAGGACAGTTAGGTCAGGTAAACCACTGGGGTGCTGGACAAAGGGTGGGTTTCATTATACTTGGTGCTCTTATTTTGCATTTGTTCAATATTTATTACTAAAACTAGGAGCTAGGAGAATAGTAAAACTTTGAGATGTAAATTATGGGTATTTTGTTGCCGAGTTGAGCCAGTCTATCAAGACAGCTTGGTGAAGTAGGTACCACAGTATTCTGGTCCACCAAGTCTTTACACAGAGATTATCACACTAACGTGATGCATCAATGAGAAAATCCGTAGGAACCGTGATGAGGATTCGAACCTATGAACTGGGTGTTCCCAGACACACGCTCCACACAACTAGGCCACGACTTTAATTTTTTTCACCACGTCTTTGTACATTAACCAGTTCTTTCTGGACTACTGTGATCCATTCAAGCAAGATTTCCCAATACAATATTGCTAAAACTTTAATGTTCTCATGTGTTGATGTCTTTGTATTTAGATAAGTATGTTCCTGTATGTTTTTATGTAAAGAATGTAACTACATGCTGCATACTCTGTATACATTATCTCTCTATATACTGTATGTTTGTTATAATATGCAGTATATATATTTTTTATTTTGTTTAATTAAACATTTATTTCAGGAAATAATAAAAAAGTAAATGAAAAGATGTCTGGGGAAGAAATTGATGGTGTTCACGTGTTGGTGGATTCATTGGTTCGCCAGGGCATTGAATATATGTTTGGGGTAAGTATGCAAAATGTTGATTACAAGAAATGTTCAATGTTCTCATTAAATTTTTTTTGTCATGTGATAAATTTCATCATTACTGTACTGTAATTAAATTTTTAACGACATGTTTTGCTTCATAATTCATAAATACTGTAATAATAATTTGCTGTGTGTAAGAAGAATACAGGACACAATATGAAAAATAATAGAAATGTTAGGGATAAGTTCATTGGGGCAAAAACTGAAATATGGTGTATATGAGATGGTCAAAATTGAATGTAGGCAACTTAAATTAAGGGTGTTCAAGAGCGTGTGTTATTTTAGTGCTGGATAGACTGTCTTCAGTGCTTTCCAATCACTTTATATGACATTGCAAGGATGCTATAGGCTCTGTGGCATAAATCTTGCATATTACCTAAATTTACTGGTGACATACCTTCTAGGCATGCAGGAGGGGAGCATTGTACCATTACCTCTGGAAGCAGCAGAATATCATACTTAAAAAAAGGAGCTTTTTGCATGCTGAAAGCATTTTTTTTTGTCATTGCTGTATACGTATAATACAGCACTTATGTTACTTTTACAGGTAGTTGGTATTCCTATTGTGGAGGTTGCAGTGGCCGCTCAACAAGCAGGGATTAAGTATATTGGTATGCGAAATGAACAGGCAGCATGCTATGCTGCCCAAGCTATAGGTAAGAAGTTGAACTTTGAACATTGGTACAGTATTTTTCATACCAATATCCTGTATGTATAGAGTATTAGAAAATTCAAATACTTATATAAATTATTTTTATGTAGTAATTAACATTACATTTTATTCATTCCTTACTGAAAACCCATTTCTTGCATGTGAAATTATAATACAGTACTGCATAGATAATATTATAGGTAAGCAGAATGGACAGTGCATATTTAGGATAATTTTAATGATAAATCTGTGACATCATTGGAAACATTATTCAGTTGTAATTATTAGAGTACTTTATTTACATTGAAGTGGTTCTGGAAATGTAATTTACTTTTTAAATGCTGTGCTTATGTTTATTTGGTGTATCATGTAAAATATTCATTGCTCAACATTTAGATCACTACATGTACCATTGTAATGATATTAATAATGCCTTGTCAGTACAGTACTGTATTTCCTTATTTCACACTTCTGGTAACATTTATTTATTTTGGTACAGGCAAACACAATTCTCTGGTAGCCATAATTCCATAGCTTTCCAACATATTTGACTACAAAACTGTACCTCACCTTTAATTACAGAATGTGGGATAAGTTAGGAATTATTTGGGATTTTGTTAAAATGGTGCAAATACTTTCTTATTGCCAGGTCCATCCACACAGATGTGATAGATTTAAAGCAAGTAGCATAATAATGCAAAACTTCTGGTCCCGTACATAATAGAAAACTCTTTTATTTTACAGTACAGTACAACATTTAAATTTTCCAAGCAACACATAATAATTGATTCATGAAATGAATAAGTAGTTATAGCTATCATTAATTTTTTTTATAATACATAATTTTTGAGCTAATCATACATAATTTCTGAGCTGTTGCATTAGGTTACTTCTTTAGGTAAGAATTTTGGTTGATAAACAGGATTCATGAATTCAAGCAGGACATTCTGGTAGAGAAACAACAGAAATATTTTTTTTAAGTGTCCCTGTATAGTCTTACCTTACCTTTACATTTTGGCTAGAAGGTTAATTTTTGTCAACAGGTTACTTGACTGGTAAGCCTGGGGCATGCTTGGTTGTGTCAGGTCCTGGCTTGCTGCACACAATTGGTGGGTTGGCCAATGCTCAAAATAACTGTTGGCCAGTACTGGTGATTGGGGGTTCCAGTGATGAAGATCAGGAAGGCTTAGGAGCCTTTCAGGAATGTCCTCAGGTTGGTTAGTGTTATAATGTTAGCTTTATAAAATATGTATGGAAGATATTTGTGTCAACTTCCTCAATAGCTTCCCTCACAGTAAGAAATACAAATATTAAAAATTAGTTTAACATCATTTTAACCAAAGATCGGTGCAGGAGTCAAAACCAAGGCACAACAGCATAATGATTAAGATAAGAATATTCAATAATCATATGCATATGTCCTGTTGTTAGTATTCAGTAATAATCAGAATATTTCTTGTAAATATTGAGCAATAATCAGAATATTTTGTTAATGTTTCTAAGGTTGAATCCTGTCGCCTATATTGCAAATACACTGCTCGGCCTCCACGAATTGATACTGTACCATATCATGTCTCTAAAGCTATTAAGTGTACAACATATGGCCGGCCTGGTGCCGCATACCTTGATTTCCCAGGAAATCTCTTGGCTTCTACAGTTAATGAAAAACAAATTGTGCACCTCCCAAGGTAGGATATTTATTTGAATACATACTATGTTGCACAAACTTATTAAGAGCTTCTATGATGAACATATCCTGACTTGCTGTGTAGCTCCATTTTCCAATCACAGCAATCTTTGCATGTGTCTTAGTATTGACTGTACAGACATATATAAATAATTGTTCTTCAGCCTTACCTTTGCATGTTCCTATATCTGTTTTCACTTTTGTATTCAGATGTCATTTTATGATTAATATACCTACTCATTATATACTTATATTGTACTACCTTAACTTGCTTTATGTAACAGAAGATGCACAGATTATAGTTACCTAAAGTAGTATGTTTTTGTTTTAATTAAATTTATTATAAAAAAAATTACCAAAGAAGATACACATCCGGGTGTTTACTTGTGCTGCTGCTCACTGCATTGTCAATACAGTACTATATTTTGTTACCTTTTTCAAATAAGCATGACCTAGTTAATAGAGAAGCAGTCAGTACTTTAATGAATTTAATTTACTTGTTTAGATTTGGTAAATTTATTTGAAGAACTGGATGTCTTTCTTGCTGGCAAATAGGAGTTCAACTGTTGAGTACCAAAGATCCAATAACTGCTTGAACATTGTTCTGAAAACTAATGTATACAGTAGTTGTATTACTAATGATGCACAGTACAATACAGTACAGTAATTCTTATCATCAGCCTTTTAGTTAGGCTTTTAAGTAGTATAAAATATTTAATCTGAAAATATTGCAGGATTATGAAAATAATTTAAAGGCAGCTATTCTCACTCTGCATTAATTTAATAAATATCCCATTAAGCAAGTCCTCTCTTAAATTAATGATGCATTTGGTTCCTAGATGTCCTACACCTCCCAAGTCTCTAGCTTCTCCTGACACTGTCTCAGAGGCAGTTGCACTGCTTGCCCACGCACAGCGTCCTTTAGTGGTGGTAGGAAAGGGAGCTGCCTATGCATGTGCAGAAAAGCAAGTGAAGAATTTCATAGAAAAAACGGGTTTACCTTTTTTACCGACACCCATGGGTATGAAACAAACATCACTGTTTTTGTAAGATTAAGATTTAATTTGGTTTTCAGTTCAGTTGATAGAAATATTTTAATATTGAATACGTCATCCTCATTTAGTATTGTATATTCAGTACAGTACTATATGTGATATAATGCGTTAATTTGTTTGGTTCTGGCTATTAGATACAACACTTTTCTTACAGATTAAGAAGTACTGTAACTATAAATTTCATCAACAGGAAAAGGAGTTGTACCAGATGACCATCCTCAGTGTATCTCTCCTGCCAGATCCAGAGCATTACTAGAAGCTGATGTAATTTTGCTTCTTGGTGCAAGGTTGAATTGGATTCTTCACTTTGGTCGCCCTCCTCGATTCGCACCAGATGTCAAATTTATCCATGTGCGTGCAATGTACAATACTCGGAAGAATTACTCAAAGTTTGTCTCATTTTGTTTCACTTTAGGTATGCAATATAGAGTATCATGTTGGAAAACCAGGCTTTAAATTTTATAAAACTTTTTTTCAGAGCAGAGCACTTTTTTCAGAGTTTTTATAAAACTTTGTTCAGAAATGCATGCATGCATGCATTTCTGAATAAACAACCTGTTCAGAACCACTTCTGTAAGCTATATATGTGCTAAAATTGTCTTGTTATAAAATACAAAGAGTTAACTTTGTATGAAACATCCAAAGATCATGAGCACAAGCATACAAAAAGGCTGACTTAGTTTTGGTAAATGTTTGCAGTACAGTATAACAAAGCAGAGTCCAGGGATTTTAAGAACAGCTTATCTGAAGAGGTACATGTGAAAACGGTAAATAATGCTTCAAAGAAGTCACATGTGAATGAATAATGATTCCCTTCAGAGAGAAGCCATATTTAATGATGATAGAACCTCACCAAAAATCACCTGTTTAATTTTTGGGAAAAAGATTAGGTTTTGGAATTAAAATGGACAATGTTTTCTCCATGACCAATGACGTACTATAAACCTTTCAACATTGGCAAGGATGCAGCTTGCTAACCCTATTTCCTGTAGCCAAAGTAAACAAGAAGACTATCTTAAGTTTAACTTTCAAGAAAGAAGGAAACAGTGAAATGCACCAAACAAGAAATTTAAAAAATAATTACATGCCAGTGCAACACATGATAAGCAAAAAGCTTACAAAAAGGAAAGCTAGAGAGATTTATACCAAACCCATATTGAAGAGAATCTATCAAGGCTGTCATTTAGGTAATAATGGTATTAGGCATAAATATGCATGTGATAAAGTACATTACATTAGTGTAGGCATGTGAAAAAAAAAAGACACACACAAGAATAGTCACGATAAGAGAAGACACACTTTGCAAGGCAATAAACCTCTGCAGAGAATATCAAACTGCTTCATACTGTCATTTAGAAGATTCCATATGGATTCCATAAGATTTTTTGAACCTCTGCACCATAGAGCTGCTAAGGAAAACAGCAACATGAGATCATGTGATCGGACAATGGGGAAGGAGCACTCATGGAGAATTACTAAGTAGTGTGTGAAGAACTTAACAAAAGGTTCCAGGTCTACAAATTGGAACCAGATTGATGTCCGAGGAATAACAAAAGCAATAGGACCAGACCAGGTGTCACTGGTTACTGAAAGAGGCTACAGGGATTCAGGCAGGATGACATACTACACCACCACAGGAAACGTTTCAAACTCACTGCAAGGTCATTAATATGCTAGGAGGTGTATCACTGAAGAAAAATCAGTCTGACCAACTATCTTCATGGTCCCCACTGTTGCTAAACCTAGCATGCAGTTCTGCTGGTTGGTTACTTCCAGTATCTCTTTCCTCAAAGCTCCAATGTTATTGTATTGGCAAGGCTACTCCTTTCCCTATTTATGCTTCCTTATGTGCTAATCAATGAGCTTATTGTGAGAGTCCTAATAAATTTACATAAATTATAAAAAAAAAGTTTTTTCTGTCTTTACATTCCTGACTATTTTCAAATAAATGTTCATATAAGTGAGTATTCAAACAACTAATCTGATAATTTAGTTCAGTTCATTGCACAATGTATGTGAATAGAGAATAATGTACAGTACAGTGTATCATATGATATTTGCAGTTTTTTTTTTTTTTTTTTTTTTTTTTTTTTTTTTTTTCTACCACAGACGTGGCCACACATTTACAATGCTAACCAGCATATATACATTTTCTTCTGTCCTCCATGGACAGGGTTAGAGAAGTGTTAAACATACAGTTCAAGGGTTTATTGAACACTCAACCACAGAAGGTGATTCGGTGCTTTTAAAATGCTAAGCTAACCTACATACGTAAATACATAGATACACAGATTTACGTATGCCCTATATTTGCAGGTGGATGTATGTGCCGAAGAATTTCATAATAGTGTGACAGGAAGTGTTACTCTTCTGGGTGACTTAAAGCTGGTGTGTGGCCAGCTGCAGGAGGCTGTGCCAGGCTCTCTTCTTGCCCCACACTCACCCTGGCGGTCTCGCCTCGGGGAGAAAGCACAGGCCAACATGAGCATCAATGCTGTAAGTATATTATTTCAGTTGATTCATAATTCCTAGAACTGTGGTATTATATAATCTATTATGTCCCAATGGAAGAATAATTAGGATCTATATTATACTTCCCTTCATTTTCCATATTATTAGGCAATACTCCTTGTATGACATACCTGATTTCCAAAGTACTTGATGACTAGCAGCGGTGGCTCAAGAAATTGGTGCACGAGAAGATAAAAAATAAGCATTATCCAGCTGGATTGTTCAGCAGTGTACTGAACTGTGGAATTGTTAGTTGGTAGAAAGGAGATGGAGTCAGCAGCAGAAATATTTTTCAGAACTTGAGAATTAAGAGCTTTCAGTATTGTAATACTATAGTGTATACAATATTACATACTATACAATATACTGTATATGAAAGGCCAGGTGCCACTTATGTAAACATATTTTTAACTCTTTACATTATTGTTATTTTGTCTGTGCCATAAATTAGGAAATAGGGTAGTGATGATAAAGATGACTAATGACCAATAACCAAACCACACTTCAGAAGATGGAGAAATGTCAACGTTTTGGGACTATTATCAAGTAGTGTGTGATAATGTTCCAGGACAGATCAATATGACTTGGTAATGGTCCAGGACGGACCGAAACGTTGTCGTTTCTCCATCTTCTGATGTGTGGTTTGGTCATCGTATCTTCAGCCACGTTACTGTGACTCATCGTCTGCGTCTGACTCATTATCTTGCCAGCCATAGTCATCACTGATCTAATTTTTTATCATTCCTCCTCAAATTTCAAAGTAAAATAGGAAGTTGGCTATTTTTTAAATTATTAAAGGAAGACATAGTCAATAAAACCATAGTATTGTTGATATTCTTCAAACATCCAATATTAGCTAAAGAGAAAGGTTACAGTAACTGATTTAACAAGAAATTATCATTTTGTTACCAAAAAATACTCAGTATTCAAGTAAATGTTCACCTTTTATTTTGGTCACTTATTGCTGTTCAGAATGTACATTATGTATATGAACAAATCCACAAGGGCCGTGACGACGATTCGAACCTGCGTCCGGGAGCATCCCAGACACTGCCTTAATCGACTGAACTATGTATATATTGTATATACATTATGTATATATTGTTATTTTTCCTCTTGGCACATGATTCCTAGGTATATATTCCAGTCATATTTTTATTTCCTGTATAATATGAAAGATATGATATTTGATACCACATTTATGGGAACAAATTTGTTAAATTTAATTTGGACAGGAAATGGCCCAGGACACTTCGATACCACTGAACTATTATGCAGTGTTCCACCACCTGCAGCAGCTACTTCCTTCTGACTGCATTATTGTTAGTGAAGGAGCTAATACAATGGACATTGGACGTACACTTCTGCTTAATAAGTAAGACTCGCTTCATGAAGGATTATCATTTTTTGCAATGATTTAAAAGGTTAAATATTTATAAAGTTTGTCTCTCATACTTTAGATTTTAAGTAACGGATTGTGTATTGAAAAAATTTGTGAGGGTCCTCTGAGCTAAACTTTTGGAGCTCCTGGCTGCCTGCCAGAAATGGCATTTGTTACATTTGATGCTTAATTCTTATTTTTTTATGATCTCTTTTTTTTTCACCATGAAAGTGAGAAATGGGGGTATTGATTTCTTTAAGTTTGACTTCTTGCACTACACTAGTGTTGGTTTGTAATAATGTGTAGCACAATGTTAATCATACAAACTATATATTTCAGACATGCGCGCCACAGACTGGATGCAGGTACATTTGGTACGATGGGAGTGGGACTTGGCTTTGCAATTGCTGCAGCCCTCTGGGCAAGAGACCATGCCCCAGGCAAGCGAATAGTATGTGTGGAAGGGGATTCTGCTTTTGGTTTTAGTGGCATGGAATTGGAAACCATTTATCGCTACAAACTGCCAATTATTATAATAATTGTAAACAACAATGGTAAGAATGCTGTTTTGTGTATTTGACTTTGAATAAAAGGCTGAAATAGTTCTCACTTTTAATTATCAGAGAACTTTATTGAGACAAAAAATTTATCTACCGAAAATGAACATTTAATTCATATTGATAGAAAAAAAATAGTAATTTTGAATATTTCTGTTAGGTATCTACGGTGGACTGGATGAAGAATTATTTAATGAAATTCGTGATGGAATGGATGCCGCCATTGCAACACCACCTAACTCACTACTTCCAAATGCACACTATGAACGTATGGCATCCGTCTTCAATGATACTGGTTACTTTTGCAAGTCTATCCCCGAGCTACAAGCTTCAGTGACCAAGGCTCTCGAAGAAGAACATAAACCATCCCTCATCAACGTGATGATCAACCCCATGGCTCAGCGTAAGCAGCAAGAGTTTGACTGGCTTACACGTTCCAAACTCTAAATGAGAGAGAGAGAATGCAGTGTAAACAGAACATAGAGTAAATCTAAAATCCATATACAATATAATGATAGTTAAGGTATTTGTTTGGGAATATATAAAGAGTTTATTTTACTGTGACTTTGTAAGAGTAACTAATAATTAATGTTTTTGTGAATAGGTTTTAGTATCAAAATGTCTCGTACTGAAAAATAAGGCAGATATTTGTGTATTTGGATACACAAATCAAGATGGTTAGGTAAATTATTGTAGAAAAATTGTCAATATGAAAGCTGTTTCAATTTCAATGACCTGCCTTGTGGCATGTAGTGTGATGTGTATAAAGAATGATGAGCACACCCAAGAAATCTCTGGATGGATTTCACAGGATGGAAAAAGGATGATTTTGTCAGGTCATCTATAACTAGTCAAGTTTCCGAGTGCAGTACAATGTAATCTTGTTCAGGCAGACTAATAACTGGATTCCAGTCAGCTCACCAAAAATTCAGGTTCTAAAGAGACACTAGATTGATTTTTCTGACCCCAAATGATGTGGACAACAATTCATTCTCATAAATAATTAGACAGTATACAGTATTTTAAAAGTAAAATAGCCTCAAATTTTATTAATTTTACTTACCATGGAGATGACCACAATAATTCTTATTAAACTCTGTAGACCAAGTGAAAATATATAGTACTGTACAGTAATGCTAAGCACAAAACCACTCTACAAAATTTACAAACTACTGTATGGTGTTGAATAAACAACTTACAAGTAGCCTCATCTAACTCGTGCTTTGATTTATTAAGCATGACAACTTTAGCATTTACATTCTCATACTTAATATTTTATTAAGCTTTATTATTTATTAAGCTTAATAATATTTTTCACTTTGAACCATTATCAACATTTTTCTTTAATTTTTTACTACTTCATGGACTTAATTTTCTGGTGATTTTTGTCCATTTTCATGCCAAAATATATCTCGCAATCAGAGGCAAAGGCACACTACCAGTTATGATAGGGTTATGACCTTGAAAGTAAATTACTACATAATTGTAAGTGAATAATCAGAAAAAATTTAACGAGTGCTTAATAGAATAAAAGACTCAGGATTAAGTACAATTAATAACTATGAAATATGAATACAGTACTATATGCTGTAGTCAGGTCAGGTGGGTTTACCAAGAGCTTGGTGAAGCAGATGCTATATTCTGGCACAAATGGTCAACCATCCAAAGGTTGGATGGTTTGCCTCGCTACCATGGTTACAGTACTGGAGCCAGATTCATGAAGCAGTTACGCAAGCACTTACGAAGAGCACTGTCCATCTTCTCAATCTTTGGGAGCTTTGTTTACAATTATTAAACAGTTAATGAGCTCCGAAGCACCAGGAGGCTGTTTATAACAATTAACAACAATTAATTGGGAAGTTTTCATGCTTGTTTAATAAATGTAACCAAAGCCGTCAAAGATTGAGTCAAGATGTACACGTTCGTAAGTACTTGCGTAACTGCTTTGTGAATCTGGTCCCTGGTATAATCACATTGGCAGGAAAGTTTCAGAACCAACCATGGTGTGCTGCAGAAGTCACTCCTTTCAGTTATCTGTACATCACAAGAGTTAACACACCGAATATTACAGTACTGTAGTTTGGTTATGTAATGGACACACATACAGCAACTAGTGGGCACTTCATGGTAGAAAAGCTTGGCTCTTGTGGAAGTATAATTTCGATGTACAGTTGATAATTTTGTAAATGCTTCACCTGTATAGATATCTTGAGAAATATTTAGATATCTGGGAACCATCTGCAATTTGCAGTGATATATAACCATGTTGGCTTAGTACTTTTTGACAAGTTTAAACTACTGTACTCAGAGTTGTCGTCTTAGTACTTTACCATTTTTTTCCGGTCAACTATGAAGCTTGTAACTTGGTGTTACAAAAATACAACATACCACTTACATAACACAATTTTGTATTGAGGAGGATAAGTTATTATGTTCAAACTAGAAGTGTGTGTTTTCCTGGTTAACAATTTTCTAGACCATATTCAGCATTAAATTTCGCAACATCAGCTAGTGACCGGACTGTTCATTATTATTTTAAATGTATAGCAAATACTGTGTAAAGTATATACTGTACATATTCCTTAACAATAATCATGTACTCCTTGATAATTACCATGGCGAGTTGAAAATATTGCCCCATAAACACAAGTCAGTCGAGGTCACATCACACTTATAATATTGTACTTTACTAAAATTTTGTAATTAAAGTAATTTTTGACATCCAATCTATCCAAGGATCCATAACCATTACTAAAACCTCATTACACGAGAAACTTGACACTTGTCATTGTTAAACTCATAGGACATGTATATAATTTAAAGTAACTGTATACTAAAAAAAAAAAAAAACTGTACAAGACAAAACATTTTTCATCCTAAAAAAAAAAAAGTTGGGAAGTTCAGAAAACATCAACTTTACTAAAGATGCAGCCATCACACTTTGTACCAAGTATGGGAAGCAGTAGAAAAGTGTGAAAAGATATTCATCCTATTCTGGCAGGTACTGAATACCCAGTGACACTGATGGTGCTACATATTAAAATAAGGCACCAAGCAGGGAAGACTAACTTGCTTAGGAAGCAAGCCAATGTGAGAAATGGGAGGCAGTAAATTTGGTATTCAAACATTTAACCTCGGTCGTCTGGAAATTCATTACCGTCACACTTTACCATTTTAAGTGGAGCAAGGAGTTGGCAAGGTATTAGAAATGTCCAATTGATAAATATGCAGATTTTATTTGTTTAGTGTGATTTAATACATAAACATTTTACTTTCACTCCAAATGAATATCCCGTCCTATCCCAAATCCTTATCCTGACCCCTTCCAAGTGCTATATAGTAGTTTTAATGGCTTGGTACTTTCTTCCAATAATTCCCTCCCTCCAAATAAATATCCCTAATTGTGGAATGTTGAACCAGAACTTTAAATTTGATAATCATGTGATTTTTTTCAAGTCACAGAAATCCTAATATGTTTAGCCAAATAAAAATAACCCCCCAAAAATACAAATTTCAAATGAATTATAATATTAAGCAGCATATTGTTTAACTAGACGATTAAACTCCTCCTCTTTGGCCACTATATCTTGTACAAACTTGTGACACTTGTGCTCGTCTCTCAGCTGTGCTAAATATCGGCTAGCAACCTGAAAGTAAACAAGGTAATGTAACATTTTTCTTCTAGCATGTCTATCTTTATGTTATAGGAAAGCCATTCAAATGAAGAAATATAGAAGCAAACGCTTCCATTTTATCGGAGTATCTGTTAAGCAGAGAGGAAGTCACAACAACAGCTGAAAATTAAACGTCCATCCCAAACGTGAAAAGAAAGGAAGCACCTTCCTTTCTTTTCATGTGTGGAAGTTATGTGTATAGTATGTATGGATATTTTGGTAACAAGTAAGAATAAGGTTTAGGTTGCGAAACCTATAGTGTAATAACTAGGACCATTATTGGTATTTAAATGTCATATAAAAGGTTCATTCTTTCACAGTGTGTTGTTAGCAAACAAACCAAGCATGGTCAAGTTTATCTATGCTGTACTTATATTAACAATAAAATATATTTTATTTAAAAAATAAATATATATATTTTGCAATTTAATTAGTATATTTAAGAACCTATCAATATTTGAATTTCATGGCTGGTTAGACTATTATGATCATCCTTTTTTCAAAATATGGTTAGCATTGCCAAGTTATTTTAAATGAATGCACCCCATAAATAGTGAGGGGCCTGCCCTGTACAGTGCTGTACTACATCTCTTCACTCAAGAATACAATACAAATTTTTCTAATTTTTCTTTGCAGCTGCAAAGATGTACAAGTAATACTGTTAAGATCTGAGAATAATTTACTTCATTCTTTATATAGTGGAACTTCCATAGAGGGACTAACCTGGACAGGATCCATTAAAAAACTTTAAAAGGTGTCCATAAATCAAGGTTTTTACAGTTTTTATATTTATATATATAGTATCTCTAATACTTTAATACAGGCATTTCACCGATACAGTAATTATTAAATTAGTTTTCTCGGTAGGAATGTGAAATTAATAACCGTGTCTTGTCAAATTTCCTGTTCCCATCAGCATGGGTACTGGAGAGAGAAATTAAAAAACCATGATTTAAGTAACATTTAAGATATAGTATACTATATATAAACTTACCAAATAAAAATAATATTAAATGAGGCAAAACACCATACAAGGATCACCTTTTCTGCTGACAGCCATGGCTCTATAACTAACCAAATACAGAACATCATTATAAATGTCAAGACCAATGTAAAAGTTTGAAAGACTCACCTCTTCAGGCTTAGCAGTGTGATGAGCAAGAACCATCAGATTAATTAGGGTATCTGGATTATTAGGATCTTTATCCAAGGCTTCCTGCAAAGCTCCCTCCGCTTCTTCATATTTACCCTGTCCAAGGAAACACACTGCCTGGCCATTGAGAAGAACAGCTGTACTACTGTTCTTGTCCATCATCTCCTGGAAGATGTAGTAGGCATCCTGGAGCTTCTCTCCACCCTGTTGAAGCAAATCCAAATCACATGTAACTCATGATAATCACCGAGTAGGCTGCGATAACTAAGGATAGGATTCTGGATTAGGCAAGAGTACCCAACAAGAAACAGGGTCAGACACAAGATGTCAGAATGGTAAAAGTGGTGTCCCCTAGGGCTCAAGCCTGGGTCCTCTGCTGTTTCTAATCTATTTAGCATGAGTGATCTACAAGACATGTAGGGGCAATTTACTAAATATCAATGTTTAAAGATAATGCAAAGCTAATGACGCAAGTAAAGCTCAAGGAGAATTTTAAGCTGCTGCAGATCCTAGATAAGCTCTGGAAGTGGACAGACTTCTGTTGTAAAAGGCTGTTAAAGAGTTCAGTCCAAGTCGGTACAAGATAATGAACGAGACCAAATGCAACTCACCGGAGATGGGGAATCTTTCATCATACAAATATCACATTTTACTTAGCGAAGACTTTATAAATGGACCGCACATTGTAGTATGCACTGTAAACATTCAAATACTGTATGTCACAAATAAACTTGCAAATCAAGTTTCATTAAACTGCAATCAGGGGCTGCACTTAATCATGAACTATATAGCAACACAGTGAAGTAGATTTTTACGTCTAGTAATTCATCACAAACAAACATTAGCAATCAATCTGTCAAGTTTACTGTTATTACAATGATGATTTAGTTGCTTGTTAATCAACCTAAAACTTTCACACAAAATTGAACTTACAAAATATTGCTTCCTTCTTAATAGCATCAATTAAATTTTTGTTTTTTTTACAAATAGCTGTGGTTCAAATTTAACTATAATGCTACATACACATTTTGTACTAATAACAAAACTGTCCTTAGTGTAACTTTGGTAATTAAGTAAAAACGGCTCCGTTACAAGAGGAATAGTTTCTTAAGTTCAAAAGACAGATTTTATTTGTACTGTATCATTTCCTATAAGAAAATCTTTGTGATCAATAACCATAAAAAAGGGGCAATTACACAGAAATCTAAACTAATATTTCACTTTATAGTGAAACCTCAATACAACTAACCTCCATTCGGCAAATCTCTGGTTGGAACACACTTTTCATGCCATATTTACTCACCCAGTTTGACAAACGAAGTGGGCGATGTGTGGATTTCCTTAGGATGTTAGGACAGTTCACAGATGGAGGCAACATTACAAGAAATAGTTGGGGTCTAGGGAAAGCCACTGAGCATATTTGAAACAAAATTCTATGGTGCTGTTTTAATTTTGCAGTTGCAGAGGTTTACATTCAGTAAACTATGGCCCAATTTTTCTTGGAAAATGAGATTTTGAGGTTTGGACAAGGGAAATATGCTAGATGTGGTTACATCTCTCTACAGACAGGTTCTCTTGGTTCTTGCCCTTCAAATGACAGGTTGCAATTATATAATTTCTTTCAGTGAAATCAGCTTATAGAGCATGGCAAATATAAGGTATGAATGGTAACAATTTGGCTCCCATCACACTTTTTTTATTGGGTGCTTTTGGAATTTTGTTCATTGGGCAAAAGGCAACTCTAAATATGGGTCCAATCACTTTTTAATGGTCTTCGTAGATTGGCACACCAAACAAGAAATGGTAAGGGGCATAGGGAAAGCCATTGAGCATATATAAAATCAAATTCTGTAACATTTTAATTTTGAGGTTCTGAAGTTTTCATTTGCAAACGTGAAACCTCATTTTCAAAGGAAAAATAATCCAAGGCTAGGGTGTGTGAAGTATGCTAGATAATAATGTAGTTATGCTATGCTAGATAAGACGTAGTTTAATCTCTCTAAATAGAGGTTTTCATGGTAGTTGTCCTTCATACGACAGTGAAATTAAAATTTTGCTCAGTGAAATTAGCCCATAGAACATGGGAAATATTAAGGTATGAATGGTAACTAATTATTGCTGCAATTACATTTTTTGATGAATTTTGTAGATGGACTCAATATTACAAGAAACAGTTGGAGCATTTGGAATGCTAATAAGAATATTTAAAACCAAATTCTTAAGAGTATTCTTTTGTATTCATTTTCAGTTGACAATTTTTTTTGTTCACTCATGGCCATATTATCTTTGAAAATGAGATGTCTCTTGACGTTTCTAGTGAATAACATTGTGGTTTACTCTTAGAAACTTTAATTTAGAAGTGCATTTATATGGCTTAATTTTTAAATTTTATTCTGGGTAAGTGGTCATCAATGGCCAAGTTAAATATTTGATCTCTGTCCCTATAAATATGTAATTTGTGGTAATAAATAAAAACACTGGATACTAACTGTGGCTATGTGGGTCCAGGCTTGGGCCATTTGGGTCAGCGTAGCATCATCATCCTTCTCTTGTAATGTTTTCAGTTCTTTACGAGCAGCATCCAGACGTTCCATTTTCAAGAATGTTTGAACCATCAGGGCTCGACTGAGGAATAGATCAATGATAATTTCAAGTGTTTAGCCAAGTAATATACATAGGGACGTGACAAAACTGTATCAATTGCTTTGCATCTTATAGATTCAGAAGTACAGTATTAAGAGATCCAAAATTTTACTAATAAAGAATATTAAGTACTGTATTTACCATTCAAGTGCATCTGACTGATTAAGAACTCTGAGTGCTGCTTCATAGTTCTCTTCATGGCAGTAGACAGTTGCTGCTACCACAAGTAAGGCTGTGTTGGTCAGATCAACATTTCCACTCAGTTGTGATTCAAGTTCATTTACAATTGTTGCCCTGTCAAGGTATTAGAATTAACATAAATATTATAGCGAGAATAAATAGAAAGTAATGCAATGTTTCACAAAGTTAACAATACATCCCATGCTATTATCTACACAAATTATTCTTAATACTCAAATTCACAAGGGCCTCGATGAGGATTTGAACATATGCACTGAATGTTCCCAGACATGCTCTAGTCAACTGTACCACGACAGTATAAGAATTGTGTGAAACTTTGATTAAGCTTCAGTGGAAGCCTCGTGAGTGTAGTAGCACTCCAGGTTGAAATTCTTGTACCATGTCTTGGTACAGTTGACTAGAGCACGTCTGGGAACATCCACCACATGGGTTCAAATTCTCATCAAGGCCTTTGTGAATTTGTTCATTGATATATCACGTTATTGTGATTTCTCTATGCATTCTTAATACTCCTATACCCCACTTTCCAGGAATTTGATAATTGTTATTATAGGTATGGAAAATTTAAAAATCACAATACTATACAGTTCTGCACAATATGTGCAACAAAATTTTTGGTCATGTTATTAACAGCAAGTGGAAATACCAAGAAATTATGTGAGGGAAGACTGGAATACTGTATTAATGTTTAATAACAAAATTACGTTTATGATAAAATAGATTACGAAAATAGATTTTAAGTTTGGAAAACATCATCCATATATATATAATGCATTGTTCATATGATTATGTAAAATCACACGATGATGTGTTATAAAATTTGCCATTAAAATAACCACCAAAAATTTTGTGATAAGTATTGTAACAAAATATAGTAGCAAAGTTCAAACAAAATGCATTGTTTTGCAATGGAAAGAGCATATTAAGAATTTATCCACTATAATGAATTACTGAATAATAGACTGGACAAGCAGCTCTTTTCATATGCTAAGAGCCATTTAACCTTTAGACCAAAAGCATTGCCCTTGCCATTCTATTTATTCAAACTTGCACAATAATAGACTTTGATGTCACCCACCACGACAGCACTATGTTATGTCAATGCAACTTGGGTAATTAAAAACCAGTATATTTTAAGACTACTGTATTTGGAAAGAGGAAAATTGCCCTTTGGACCCACTCAGTTTTCACCCAATTTGTTACTGACCTGTTATCTGGGGACTGCAGATAACGTGCTAAAAGCTTGAGTGCCTGAAGAGGAGCTGGTGCAGATGGTTTAATTTCACTCTGGACTACACCATACTTGCGCTGACCTATCAATGCACGGTAAAGAAATACGTCTCGATCTTGACGTAGTTCTGGTGTACTTGGCTGGAAACAAAAAAACTTTCTTAGCATCATAAATATTTGTTTATTATGCATTATTAATAACCTCTCCTGAATAATTAATTTTGAACAATTGTTAAATTATATTAAAAAAAATTATACAGTAATTACTAAAAAATATAAACAAAATTCCATGAATGTTTAGTGTAATTAGATATAATCCTTCAAAGATGTACCTCGAGTTACAACTCAAAATACCTACTAAGTTTGACCAAAAATTTATAAGATTGATGCATCTGATGTCACCCATAATTTAAAGGGGGGAAGAAAAAGCTTTTAATCCAACAACCAGTCCAAAGGAATGGGTTCTATTCACTGGGGTAGTATACAGCACAGGTAAACCTAGACATTTATAAACTCCCTCAGCCTTAGACAACAGCAGGAGAACCACTCCAACTTCTACATTTAGCTATCTTGAGATGATTATAGGTAGCTAGCATACAGTTACATTCTACCTTCTCTAACTTAAGAGAATAAACTTCTATTCCATTTACATTTAATAAACTTCTATGTATAAATTACCCATAGATGATTTCTATAGTTCTATTGCAGCTTGGCCTGAGGCCAGCCTTCTTTAGCGATTGCCTAGTCTATGCGACTACTTTTAATTGTAGGTATACACTGTACTAATATGAATATATTATATGTACAAACTAAGAGTTACTAAATTCACTCTACGATAATATAAATCAATATATCAAGTTGGTACATTGTTCGAGACCATCGACAGTCCGGCACATCATTTAAAAGCCGTGACAGATGCATTGCATTTATTGGATACGTAACCCAACGAGAGAAAAATACTCTACCTGCAATTTCTGGGCCTCATTAATACAATGCTGATAGTTTCCAATGTAAAATGAGGTCTTAACCTCGAAGAGCTCGTCGACTTCTTGGTTTGCCATGTTGACACTTGTGTCTCTGTCAGGCTGATCAACCTACCAGATAGGTTCTAAAGTATTAAAAGTCTTGATTTTCTACTCTTATATTTGAAAATAATAAATATATAGGAATATTTTTTCCCTAAACTATTAAATCTAAATTATTAAATAAAATTTGTTTGTAATATTTAAAATTAGATGAATATAATAACTTAAACCACGAAAGCTTCAACAGTTGCTGTTGGTACGATCGTTCGTATACGTGTATCGCGATTTGCTTTAAAAACTTGAATTATCTTTCAGTTAAAAATACAAAAATATGTAATATACATCTGTATTAAAGTTTGAGTGCTATAACTAATTTACCTATTGAAATATAATAAACTTACTAAAGTATATAATTTTGAGTATGAATCGCAATCAGCTGATCTGTCATCACAAACCAGCGAGCTTAAGGTGACTCATTTTTAAGAAATCAGTTTACAAATGTATTAAATATATAGAACTCCTGGTTTATTCTCGAGGCTGGGTGGCCATCTAGCTCATGTAACGCCTGTGGGTCGATGGAAAGCCTGTTAAAATTGTTCCCGTTAGATTGTAAGGCTTTCTTTAACTGCTTGGACATGTGATATGTCCAGCACATCATATGGGAGTCATTAGGAAGTTTATAGATTTGCACTTCACTTTCCAATTTGAGCTATGGGCGGGGGAAGGATCTGGCATTGGCTTGGACGAGAGGCACCAAGGGGTAGGCTTCTGATGTGTACTCGAGATGTTGTGGGCACCTGGTTCTTTATTATAATAATTCATTGTGTCGGGGGACAGGCTGCCAGTATATAGAGAATTATATTTTTTAAATCACTGTTGATGCAGTAAACAATATTTGGTGTGCTTCCTAATTTATCATATACAGTTGTCTTTAATGAAAGTTTTGTATAATATCAGATGACGGTGGAGACAGCAGCTAGCTTGGATCTAACCACACTCTTCAAATCATGTGTGAAGACAATCCGGACCCGCAACAAGGCGATGGGAGTGGCTTTGCCTCAAACCAAGATATTTCCGCCTGCTCCAACACATTCTTCACAGTTTTATTCCAGAGCGAGGGATGTGATGAGCAACATTGCAAGTCATCGTAACTTACTCAAAGATCATAAAAAAAAGTACCTTCAGGACCAGGATCAAACTATGTCAGATTATGAACGTAGTTTCATGGAAAAAGTATGTACAGAATTATAATTAGTTTGTAAGTTGCACAAAAAGTAAATTCATTTATTATGGGGTTAATTTTGATAGAACAGTAATTGTATTAATTGTTATAGTTTTATTATTTGTCTTTAAAATCTTACTTAAATCAGATTAACATTGAGCAAATACTGGTATGAATATGTAATGCACTTACATTTTTGCAACAGATGTATGCAATTTTTTGTATACTGTACTGGTACAGTACAGTTTTTTTATTAGTCACATGAACATCAAAATATTTTTGGGTAAAGCATGTAGTTAAATTGAGTTTTAACTTTTAATTGAGTATTCAGTTTTGACAAATTATGAGATGTATTTTGCTTCCTTTGCTTACTACTGAACCTAATTCCAAAAAACTGTCAACTTTGATTATTAGCATAATAACTTGTATATAAAGCTGGATACATAGATACTGTTATACGTGGTACTGGTATAATCTTATGACACTCCACAGGTGGTGACCACAAATCTGCGTATCATTGATGACAACATCCATAGTCTGAATATTGAGCTCCAGGGTGAAAAGCTCGGGTCCAAAGATGCTCGTGAATGTCAAGAAAATATACTGGCCATATTGAGGTTAAAATTCCAAGAAACAAATTCCACTTTCAAACATATGAAAGAGCAAAGAAGAAAAAAAGAAAAAGAAAAAGTAAGTTTGATACAGTATTTTAAAAATTAAAATAAAAACATATCTTATTTTCCCTATAGGCCTAGAGTATTGTACAGTATATGTGATAAACACTACACAAACAAAAGGATAAACATTTGCATCCAGCATATAGCAAGTGGAACATGACCTGCCACACTTAATGGCCAAGGTACAATTTGTTAATTCACAGACAATTTATTATACAGTCTTCTTTTCTTTGGGCCATACAATAGAGCAATCACATGCAAACATTTTAATGCAAAAAAAAAAACATACAAATTTAACATTGTTATAAATATTCCTGTTCAGCACACCACTAGTTCTTATGTCCTGATTCACTGTGGGTTTTGGTTTTAGCTCTGATTTGAAGATTTACAAATAATGCATTGTTTACAATTTTATGCCATCTTCATTTTCTGTGCACCCTTCAGTAAAGCAATCGTATACAAGCATTTTGATGCTTATAATCGAAATATAAATCAATGATTACTTACACAAGTGAGACATGTTGGTTGTATGACTAGACATAAACATTCTCAGGAAAAAAATGCATGGGATCGGCATCCGCATTAACCACTGTAGAACAGGCTGCAAAAGCCTAAATAATAAAAAAATGCAAATTTTCTTTTCCCCACTCCCATCAACATTATTTACTTCCCAGCAATATTTAAAGAAATTAGGGAAGACGGAAGAGCAGTTACTGGCACTCAAAGGACAGAAAGCACGAGTATAAAGAGCTATGACGTTTAGAATCAAGAATTATATGTACGGGCAGCATACAAAATCAACTAGACCAGGGACGTGAGCTACCACCAGGTGGCAGTTAGCCACATCACTTGGGGGTACTAAACCCGTAGCAACAATTGTTTGCCTTGTTTATTTAGGAGTGCCAGTTTCCTTCCAGGAGGTACTTGTTTAGTGCACCTATGATTTCTAATAGATTTTCCCAGATTTGTGGTTGATCACCTGCCCTTATTGACACATAGAATAAGCCAGATTCTGGTTCCGGCTTCTGGCAGGTGACAGATGAATGCTTTATGAAGGCCTTCATAAAGTTCTTTATTGTCCTATAAAGTCCTGCCCTTCTTCCCAGTGAGACTTTTGGGAAGTTATTCTGTAGTAGTTTTTAATGAGCTATCTTACTGCGTAACGGGATGATGCTTCTGTAACAAATGAACAGATAGATGAATTTTACAAAATAGGCAGATCTAAATACTGTAGCATGATTGTGAGATTACAAAATGACTGTATAATGAAGCACAATGATTATATATTTAAATGATCTGTGTTGTGTACATGTTTGCATATGCTTATGTCCAATAAGGAATATTTAGAATGCATTTTTCTTCAGGACAACTTGTTCCGTGTGCAGCGACCAGTTGGGTCTAAAAAACAGCCTAGCAGTGGCTCGGATGACTCTCACAGGACCCCACAGCTGGCTCAGCTTGGAAGAAAAGAACTTAGTCAGGATACCTGCAAAGGTTCACATCCTGGTAAAGATACTCTGCTTGGTTTTTTCATATTACAGTACAGTAGTAGTTTCACAAACTTATCATTGCACGGTAAACTAATTGTGTAATTTTGGTTGTCACGCAAGAAACCACATGGAAGGGAGAAGGATTCACCGATGATCAGGGATCAGATGCACCTGCTAGACTACTATTACATGGCCTTAAAACTGACAAAAGACAGCCAGACCACACTTTTTGAGAGAAAAAGCAATGTAAAAGATTTTGGAGTAATTTCAGAAGATCTTACTTTAAAAAAACACAATAAAGTTGCTCTCAACTGCAAGAAAAATGACAAATTGGATAATAAGAACCTTCTCCAAACAAGAGATGCAATGACAATGATGATAATTTTTAAGACATTAGTGCTCTCTAGAGTGGAATATTGTTGCACACTAACAGCTCCATTCAAAGCTGGAGAAATTGCTGACTTGGAGAGTGCAAAGATCTTTTTACCAATAGAATACATTTGGTAAAATATCTAAACTAGTGAAACCATTATAATTAAGCACAAAGGGCCATGTGGTAGTAATACAAAAGCTTGTAAATGTTGTTAACTTCCACAGCATACTGAAATGTTTCTCTGAGAATATTGCAGAAAAGAAGTGACTGCTGTATTTCTGGGAGGGACTGCTCGGTGATTTCCCAAGTGGCATTCTGATACCAACAAGCCTTGACCTAACATACCAAGCTTTTACTCATTCTGATTTCCCATAGGATGTGATAACTGTATAATTGAATAACTCTTGTCTAAAACTTGTCCAGCTTCCTATGGAAGGCATTTGTCATTGTCACAGCAATGTTTGTTTATTCTTGATGGAAGAAGGTTGAAGAGTCTTGGGCTTCTTATACACATGATGATGAATATGCTTCTTTCTTGCAGAGTCTTGGAGTCATTCAACTGATAGCCAAAGCACAGACCACTTTAATGGTGAGAGCCTTGAACATAATGGCAAAAAAGAAGTGCAAACAACTGAAAACAAAACAGTGGGTAATGGAACAACAGATCTTGAGAAAACTCGATCTTCAACTTCCTTGTTTGAGGAAGAAATGGAGAGAATGAGCGGGGATCTGAGTGCTGAAGAAAGGCAGATGCTGGAAGAAGAAAATGCTCACCTTTACAAAGAAGTGATGTCAAACCACGAAGAAGTACGTCAGATCACCCGACAGGTACGAGAGGGGAATATGCACATGCTTGCAATTGCAAGCAGTTGTATCAGTCTCATTTGAATTTTTGATACATATATGGTTTATGTTTTTCAGTAAATAATATTGCAGATTTTATACTATATAATAAGTCTGGTTATTTATAAATTTTGTGTGTGTGGTACTTGAAAGAGTAAATAAACATAAAACAAAAACGAGATAGGTTTACTGTTTAAGGATATGATCCACCATTTTGAGGGCCAGCGCAACTGATTAAGGTACTGTACACACACATTAAGTAATACTACACTGTACCTAATATACAATATCATGCCCTGTTATTTTGTTAGGCACTAAACAATATACACTGTTAGGGTAAGTAATTATTTAAAATACTGGTAATATGTTTGTTCTTTACCGGTAAAGAACAAAAAGTTTCTGGTAGTGTAATACTGTAATGAAAACTATATTTAGCAAGTGTCTTGGTCCCAACATTTCTGGATATGATAAGTTGTACTGCAAGTGCAATTTAATTTTTTTTTCAAATGGGTGGTTAGCATGTGTTTATAAGTAATTGATGTCTGTTACTTGGTATTGTATGTGAAAAAAGTAATAGCTTTCCACAAATATTGGTCTCCGTGGCGTAGTGGTTAAGACGCTCGCGTGGCATTTTGTGAGTGCTTTGTCTTAGGTTCGTATCCTGGCCGGGGAGGATTTACTGGGTGCAAATCCTTAACTGTAGCCATTAATCAATGGTAAAATGGGTACTTGGTTGTATAAACGATTCTTCACGAGGGTCGTATTCCAGGGAACTTAGGTTTAAGGAGCCTGAAACGCTATGCGTACTAGTGGCTGTACAAGACTGTAATAACTCTTGTATATGTATATAGAAAGTATAAGAGGATTGACAAAGGGGAGTAAGCCTATATAATATCTGCAGGTGGTGGAGCTGAGCCAAATGCAAGACCTCTTCTCGGAAAATGTTGATCTCCAAGCTCACCAAATTGAGGAGAACCAGGAAACTATAATGGCATCGACTGAAAATGTTCGTTCTGGTAATGAGCAAGTGAGTAAAGACGTTTAAATTTAATTTTGTCTGACACATTATACTGTATATGTACTGTATATATATATATATTATATATTCATAATTTTAAAGTACTGTATATATATATTAAGTCGCTTTTGTGGTATAATAACTGTGAAAGGTGTTTTAAAAAGGAAAGCTATTGTATTCACAATGAACCATGTTTGACAAAAACAAATTTTTCTGTGTTTTCATACACAGAATGATTGGTATCTAGATATTTTCTAGATACCAATAACACCTAGGGTATCCTTGATATGTAGAATTTTGTAATAATTGTGCGGGAGACAGTACGGTAGATTGGATGTCCCATCCTTAATGTTAGAGAGCTTACCTGACAATGCTTGCATAGTACTGACTACAAAGATGTGAAGTCTAGCTTTAAACTCATTTTATCTTAATATGTTTTTCATTCTTTCCTGGCAGTTGTATTTTCATCATTTTAAGTGGCAAATGAAGCAATGGTAATAATTATAAAGTATTTTGAATTTTGTTTATTCAAAGGCTTGGAGTTAGCCTATATTATGTTGCTAAAAATATATTTCCTTTTCTTCACAAGGTTCGTGAAGCTATGCGGAAGGATGCTGGATTTCGAGTATGGATAATGTTCTTCCTGATTGTAATGTCATGCACAATCCTTTTCTTGGATTGGTACAATGGGTGAGAATGTGAAATGAAACACAGCAGATATGATAAATTATTTGCACACTGTACCTCATTCTGTGAATGAATAGATTGCAAAATTTTGAGTATGAAAATGTGAAGTGGATTAAAAAGGTATAAGAAAGTGGAATATTTATATTTCAACTTGCCTCTGAAACGACCAAAATCTTTCTTACTAAGTCTTAGTGTTGTACAAGCATCTTGAAATTATCACCATTACCTACAGTATCATTATGCCTTTCCCATGTCTCACACTCAAGGGGTAGAGGCGCATTAGCTACTTTCTCCTCCCTTAAAAAAGTGAAAAGCAAAAGAAGGTTATAGATAATAAAAAATATAACAATTACTTGATCATTCGATTGGGTTGGACGGTAGAGCGACGGTCTCGCTTCTTGCAGGTCGGCGTTCAATCCCCGACCGCCCAGGTGGTTGGACACCATTCCTTATCCCCGTCCCATCCCAAATCCTTATCCTGACCCCTTCCAAGTGCTATATAGTTGTATTGGCTTGGTGCTTTCCCCTGATAATTCCTTCTTTCCTTGATCATTCACAATGCATCAGAGATAAACAAGCTTTTTCACACTTCAGCAGTTGTCTACAGCACCAAATTTTACTTCTACTAGCTTCATTTTCTCCCATGATGTTTACACTGTTTTCCTGAAAGATCGTTCTACATTTTACCCTTTCAGCATCATATTGAGAACATCTTCACTTTATTCATTATCTTGCATTTATCATTCACTGTCCTTGTGTCTCATCTGTATGAAGTTTAACTGAAGTGAACTCTTATTTGTTGCAATAATGAGAGTAAAACATCATAGGAAAAGGACAATTAATATAATTATTTCTGATTTTTCCCCGAGGGCAAACTTTTGAACTGGCTTGTTTATTTGAAATCTCATTTTAATCATGCAGTGCAATATAACAATCTAGCTTGAAGTTTTCTTTTGATAATTACTCATACAAGTATCCACTCAGTTTAAAGGTCTTTGATTTTGCATCCCCAGTGGACTTAACAACCAATTTTGAGACCAATATCTGGATCCTTATTTACTGAGTGAATGTCCAGTAAAGAGGGTTAATGGTTGATATTGAATTTACTGAACTTACCACTGGGTAAAAGGTAGCTGTTATTGGGTTTGTATAAACAATTTTGCCTTTACACACAGAAATCACAATAGCGTGATGCATCAAATGAACAAATTCAGTAAGTTCCAGATCCAATAAGTAAAGTAGAACTTCGGTTTCAACTCTTTTGACCATGTCGTAGCTCAGTCGATTAAGGCAGCATCTGGGATGCTCCCGGACGCAGGTTCGAATCCTCGTCACGGCCCTTGTGTTTTTGTTTGTTAATTTTGTTAATCTCATGTAGGTTGTTAAATCGAGTGGATTCTTGTAATTATATTGCATTAATTTCCTTGCATGGTTTATGTGTGTAGAAGTGCTGAGAGTAATGGTGCTATTTATGGTGCAGTAATTTCTTATCAAGAATCTAGTGAATAACAGGAAGATTTGTTTAAGACAATTTTAAGGTAAATTCAGAGACCAAGGAGAAGAAGAAAAAACAGGTAAGATGAAGTACTTTGAGAAGGAAGTACAGTATTTAATTTTGCAATATAGGTGTTTCAAATGTCTGGAGACATGAAATATGGCTAGCTCTTCAAATGACTGACTGACTTCCTCAATGTAGTCATTTTTCCCCTTGACAGGATCCTTGGTGAATCCAATACCTTTGACATTGCTCAACTTGTGTCTTTTTGCTCTAGTATTGACATCCTGAGTGATATTTAGAACCTTTGGAATATCTCATGACACAAACTGTGGTAAACAGGCTTTCCAGCTTGGTGGTACCTTTTATTAATTGCTTACGAGAACTATGTCAAAATTCTAGCCTCATTTAATTCTTCACTTCTTTAACAACAGGTCATCAGGGTTTGTTTACCCTCCAAAGGGCTAGTGAAATGCCATATATACTGTATGTTGATAAGTATGACAACATATGACTGAAAAGGATTAATAGTTCTTAGTCTACTTAATCCAAATATGGGGTAGCCATGGGCCTGTTTAATGGTCTGTTGAGATTAGCCTTACTTCTCTAGATTTTTATTTGTTGGGATATTTAAGATCCGTTGAAAGGAAGACTTTAAAGATACAAAGAATTTCAGCACACAATATTTGTGTTAAAAAGATCCTGTAGTCTGAAGAAGCTTGCTGTATGATGGCTCTCAAACATTTATTTATAAACTGTTATTAAAAACAAAAGGATTTTAGCAATATGTTTATACTGCATGTAGGTGATGTTAAATTTGTCTTAGGTGTTCTCTTTATTATTATGATGCAGAAATGTTAAGACAAAAGCACACCATAGAAAATAAAATGCCAAACATTAGTTTTGTATTGTTTTATTTCCATGTCCATTAAAAGTATTATTTATTATTTTACACATAATATTAACTGATGAAAACAGTAAAGAAGATTTTATGATGTTAATTTGGCATCTGTCAGGAAGACTATGCTGACCTTGGAGATATTTCTGGCTTGCTGAGGGGAGCTACAAGGAAGACTTGAGGCTTTTGAATGCTATAGATATACTGTGTAGAGTGGAATGTTCAAAAATAAATATATTAGCCTTATAAAAATATGATATATTAGCACTTGGGTGTATCGAATATAAACTCATAGTGTGCTGAGTCGAAACAAGATGTTTTTAGCAATGAAATGCGAATGTGATACCAGAGAGTGTATGCCTGTGGTATGAAATAGTGATGATTATTCTAGTATTTTTGATGTAATTAACCGTACTATACACTCAGATAATTTACAGTATATATGGTCATGATGTAAAGTTTTTATTAAATTAATATCTGGTCCTATGGTTCTTGTCTCTAATGCTGATAAAGATAAATGCTTACTAGGGCTGTGCTTTCTAAAGATGTGTGTACATAACACAACTGTTGGCAGTGTTGTTGGGTTGGCATCACAGGTAACAAATTGCGCACTCTTAAAAGGACCTTTCTGCTTGACCTTCCAACGACCACCATAATAGAGGATGGGAAACAGCTCTGGCTATGGTGCATGTTGGTCACACTCTCTTAACTCATGAGCAGTTAATTGAGCAATGCCCCATTCTTTTTTTTTTGTCTGAACTGCATTACCCCACTTACAGCCATGTAAGTGGGGTAATGCAGCTTACAGCCATGTAAGCTGCGTACCTGTATTACCCCACTTACAGTCATGTAAGTGGGGTAATACAACTTGAAGCCATGTAAGCTGCGTACCTGTATTACTCCACTTACAGCCATGTAAGTAGGATAATGCAGCTTACAGCCGTGTAAGCTGCGTACCTGTATTACCCCACTTACAGCCATGTAAGTGGGGTAATGCAGCTTACAGCCGTGTAAGCTGCGTACCTGTATTACCCCACTTACAGCCATGTAAGTAGGATAATGCAGCTTACAGCCGTGTAAGCTGCGTACCTGTATTACCCCACTTACAGCCATGTAAGTGGGGTAATGCAGCTTACAGCCGTGTAAGCTGCGTACCTGTATTACTCCACTTACAGTCATGTAAGTGGGTTAATACAAGTACAACATACTTGTAGAATGTTCTGATTCAGGATGATCACTTTTTTCCTTTCTGAACTTTCTCTGGATTACTTATCCTTCCCCTTATTGTCTTTTGTTATTATATTGATAACTGTGATAACCTATGTGATATTTATCATCTTGAATATCCCGTGACACAGACGGTGCTCCATAGTCTTCCCAACTTGGTGTCTTCTTTTCATAATTACTTTCTAAAAATGTGATAAGAAGGATTGCTGAAATTTTAAATAAGTATACGTATTCTATGATAAGAAACTCATTGCTTTACAAGGTCCCAAAAGCCAAGAGCAAAGGTTTTGCACTTGCAGGCTAGACCATTTCGAATGCATCACTAGAATTAAATATATAAACATAATACAAATTGAACAGTGACGGTATTCATATATACTGTACTGTAAATGAATATACCAAATTACTGGTATTGTTATTTTACCGGAAACTGAATGTGGGTCAGGTAAGAGTAATGTTCCAGATTTAAAAGATGAATGAAAATATTGGCCAGTGAATATGTTTGAAGATTTAGGAATGAAGGCATGTTTGTTTTGTTTTTACATATCTATGTAGTCGCATATGCAACTACTTGGCTGTGAATAGCAAGATTCGGTAGATTTAGTAAGGTACATAGGAAGGAACAAGGAAGAGGGTGTGGTATCGACTGCCACATTCAGAAAGAACTGAATGAACGTGAGTTATTATGGTCAACTAGGTGCAAACAAGAAAGATAGAATGATGACCAATGATGATAACTGACAGCCAAGATGATTGAGTAGAATGCGACACTAAAATTTATTTGAAATCAATGAGGGCTTTTCGAGTGGAGCGCACTCTTTAACTGTGTGAAGGAAGCACAATGTTGGATGATGAATGAGGGAGTGAGGTGTACTTGAGTGGTTCTCGAACACTCCTCACTCACAGTTCAGTTGTACATCATTATCCTGTTACGTACTTTTATGATGATGGAAGATTCAGTACCACCACACACCAGCAAATTATAATAATTCTTTTAGTCGGGGGGACATGAAGCCTGTGAATATATATACCTTAGACTTGTATCGAACTACTGACCCTCCCCAAGCGTAAAGTTGCCCACTATCTGCTGCCACTGTACTACTTTCTACACCCACAAAACAATCTAAAATTGTTGAAGAACTAGACCCACTTAAGTTACATATTTACCAAGAATAATTATCTTGGTCTTTGATACGATCATGTGAGAGGAATGACTGGAAATAAGTAAGGAAAATCTTGGAAAGCAAAGGTGGTATAGTTAGATTTATTTTAAAATAATAATCTAACAAATAAAATCGAATACTCTCCATAGCAAATCTCTTCGGGAATTTCATTGCGGTGATGAAATAGTCACAGCTCAAACCAGCGACCTGCGAGGCACATATTGTAGCCCTGGCTGTCCACGGATACTGCCACTGGCTACATTAGACACTGTAATAGCCCTGGCTGTCCTCCGCTACTGTTACTGGCTACATTAGACACTGTAGTAGCCCTGGCGGTCCTCCGCTACTGCCACTGGCTACATTAGACACTGTAGTAGCCCCTGGCTGTCCTCCGCTACTGTCACTGGCTACATTAGACACTGTAGTAGCCCTGGCTGTCCTCCGCTACTGTCACTGGCTACATTAGACACTGTAGTAGCCCTGGCTGTCCTCCGCTACTGTCACTGGCTACATTAGACACTATAGTAGCCCTGGCTGTCCTCCGCTACTGTTACTGGCTACATTAGACACTGTAGTAGCCCTGGCTGTCCTCCGCTACTGTCACTGGCTACATTAGACACTGTAGTAGCCCTGGCTGTCCTCCGCTACTGTCACTGGCTACATTAGACACTGTAGTAGCCCTGGCTGTCCTCCGCTACTGTCACTGGCTACATTAGACACTATAGTAGCCCTGGCTGTCCTCCGCTACTGTTACTGGCTACATTAGACACTGTAGTAGCCCCTGGCTGTCCTCCGCTACTGTCACTGGCCACATTAGACACTGTAGTAGCCCTGGCGGTCCTCCGCTACTGCCACTGGCTACATTAGACACTGTAGTAGCCCTGGCTGTCCTCCGCTACTGTCACTGGCTACATTAGACACTGTAGTAGCCCCTGACTGTCCTCCGCTACTGTCACTGGCTACATTAGACACTGTAGTAGCCCTGGCTGTCCTCCGCTACTGTCACTGGCTACATTAGACACTGTAGTAGCCCTGGCTGTCCTCTGCTACTGTCACTGGCTACATTAGACACTGTAGTAGCCCCTGGCTGTCCTCCGCTACTGTCACTGGCCACATTAGACACTGTAGTAGCCCTGGCCAGTATGCGATATGTTCACAGAACTGGTGAAGATGGGGATGGGAATGGGAAAGTAAGCAATTATCAAAAGAAGATCCAAGCGGGAAAGACTATGTAACCGAAATGGTTAAGGTCGCTGGTGAGTGAAGCTCTGAATGAATAAGGATGTAGGGGGGGGGGGGGGGGGGGGCGCCAAAGGGAGAAAATGGGTAAAGGGGTGGATGCTGAGTAATGAGGCATGAGTATTGAATGATGGATACTGAGAAGGCCAATTGCCATGCACTAGAACCGTGATGTTTAATCAGTGGTTTTTCATAGGTGGGAAAACCGAGTTTCAGTTCATTTTAATACACGGAATAGAAACACATATCTACACTTGCCTCTCAATCTTTTAACTGACGGATCTACAGGTTCTCGAACCTGTTGGGCTCTTGTCTTATCTACATTTAAAGCTGTGTATAGAGTCTGCCTCCGCCACTTCCTTAACTTATTATTAATTAACTTCTTTTAATTATTAATTAACTTCTCTGACATGGAACAAAAATTTCGTCGAATTCGGGTAGGCCTACTTAGCCTTCACCCGTTTACCTTGTTCGTGTACCACTTATGTCTTATGGTTTGTTCTTGTTTGCACTTACGGGCTCACCATAGCCCGTGCTACTGGAACTTATCGTTCTGAGTAGCGAATCTTAAACAACAACAACATCTTGTTTGCTATGTGTGGGTGTGTGAGAGTGGGGGATGAGTGTGGATGAGTGAGGGTGTAGGTGGGTGAGAGTATGAGTTGATTGAGGGTGTAGATACTCATCTAGTTGTGCTTGCGGGGTTGAGCTTCGGCTCTTCGGTCCCGTATCTCAACCATCAATCATCTGGTGTAAAGATTCCCGAATCTATTGGGTTCCATCATATCTACATTTGAAACTGTGTATGGAGTCTGCCTCCACCACATCAATGCCTAATGCATTCCATTTGTTAGCTACTCTGACACTGAACAAATTCTTTCTAATGTCTCTGTGGTTCATTTAGGTACTCAGTTTCCACTTGTCTCAATAATTTGGTTTTGTCAATCCTGTCATTTCTTCCAAGAATCTTGGACCTGGTAATCATGTCTCCCCAATTATTCTGTATTTTGGTAGTCTTTCCTCGTAGCTCATGTTCCTCAGCTCGGGTACTAGTGTGGTGGCGTACCATTAAACTTTCTCTAACTTCGTTTTATGCTTGACTAGGTACGAACTACATGCTGGAGCTGCATACTCTAGGATTGGTCTGACATATGTGGTATACAAGGACCTGAATGATTTCTTACGTAAGCCTTTTTTTTGTGTATTTTGCGTTTATTTTTTAAGGCAGTTCTTATGTTAGCCAAGCGAGCATATGTACCTGTTAATATCCTTTTGGTGTGGGCTTCAGGGAACAGGTCTGGTGAAATGTCAACCACTAGATCTTTCCTAATGATTCTTGAAGGATTTCATCTCCCAAATGGTACCGTGTCCTG